GTGAAGTGAATAAATAAAGTGACAGGGACAGAGTTCCAACTTATTAGAAAGAAAACTAGGTGTAGATTTTTTATTGGCAGGTTGGGTCAAAGACAATAAACTTATTTTTGCTTGCTTAGGCTGAATTAAATAATTAAATTTTGAAAAACATAAAGGAAATGAAAATTAGAAAGAAATGGAAAAATGGCAAAAGAAGAGGTAATAATAAGACCTATCTTTGTCTTTAATATTGGTACATCAATGGAACCTTTCTTATTTAGAAATTTTTTTTTTTTTGATACTACAGGTAAATAAGGCATCAGAACGTCTAAATAAGTGGTTTTTAAAACCAGAAGAAGAAACCAATGATGGTCCATCTCATGCATAAAGAGAAGCATGAGCGTAATTTTAATATGCTTTTAAGTTATATTTTAGAATATCCATTCAATTTTTAGAGAAGTTTAGAAGAATTTTCCGCTTAAGACTAAAATGTCTTAATTAATTTGAAATAAATTTTAAGGTTTAATTTTCTTAATTGAATAATGAATTTATGTAGTCTGTACTCTTAAATTAAAAATCCCCTTGAATAATTACTTTGTCAGCTAACTTTATTTTTCTTTCTTTTACTAATTTTTTGCACTTCAATCCTTTATAAGAAAATTATTCATTAGAAGAAAAATAAGTTCAACTATATAATGTCAATGTGAATATTTCACTTTTCTCATTCTCCCCCTCCCCACTTTACAGGCATTTACACCCTCCATGTAATTGCTATTTTTCTTGTCTTTTCTTTTCTTTTCTTTTTTCTGAGCATGAGAAATTATGGAGAATGGAGATTTTTTTTTTTTTAAATCATTGGTGGAAATTGAACTATTGATTAATTAAACCCAAATACTAAGGTTTTGGGATGAATTATTAAATCCAAAAGCTCGGTTCCTCCATGTAATGGCTATTTATTCATCACTTTCCCATGCATTTTTATATTCTATAATGATGATTCGAGTCACTTTTTACATTTTTTAGTGTCCATAAAAACAAAATCTTTGTTTAGTAATGGATTAATTCTTGTAACTCCTGTCATTCACTAGGCCCAAATGAGAAGCAGAAACATTAGAAGACTTTCTCTTTGTCGTAGTATTTTATCTCTCAAAATACATTATTTTATACTTAATTATCTATTTATTTTACAACACATTAATATCACAATTTATCTCTACAATCCAATTTCAGGTGAGACTTAAGATTTTGAGATCAAACTTTGTTATTCCTTTTTTTTTTTTTTTTTGAACAGCAAAAAGTAATAATTATTAAAAAACGGAGTATAAAGAGTATCCCAAACCCATAAACATCCCAACTTGAAAGGCATAAATTCACAAGAGCCAAACAACCCTTTCTGATATATTAATACAAGAGCACCTCCAGGTTATTAAAAAATTTCAACCTACATTTTGTCAACACAAAACAAGAAACAGAAACTTTGATTTTGGATGCTTACCATATGGTGTCGATACCAAAATTATGTGTTGGCACCACACCAGTGTCAGGTTTCTGTCCTCCTTTGCAATTTCTTCAATGGTAAAATAGCACATCTGGTCCTTCATATTTTGTACAATGAGCATTTAGATCTCATAACTCAAGATTCATTCATTTAGGTCCACAATATCACACCTTCCTTCTTGCAATTTAATCCCTCAAATTTCAAAAGATGTTCATTTAAACCCAAAACTCCTATTCTTATGCATTCACGTCCTTTTCTCTTCTAGACAATTTTTTGGTGTTAATAGCCAATCTGTCAATGAGCATGCCTAGTTCTTGCTTTTTGCCTTCAATCATTCCCATGATCTGATTTGGATGTAGTCAAACACCCTTTGAGCATCTGGGTCTTTCCCTTTGAATACACAACTATTTCTAGTTAGCCATAAAGACCAAACATATGCAAACCAAATAGTCTCCCATCCTTTTAAAAGCTTCCTATCTTCAATTAGTCCGAGATGTTGAGAGAAATCTTCCCAGCAAGTTCCTGGTCTAACTGATTGCATTCCCCACCACTTCAAGCACATGCCCCATAAGGAATATGCAACTCGACAATGTAAGAATAAGTGGCTGGAGGTCTCAACTTCCTCTTTACAAAGGGAGCATGATGTCATGTTGTAGCTATTCAGGACCCCCCTCTTAAACAGCTCAAATTTGGTTGGTAATTTATTTTGGATTAATTGCCACACCATAGCATTAACTTTACTTGGGGTCAGTGGATTCCAAACTTTCACAAAAATGTCTGTGTCAGTTCCATGGTTTGAGGCTTTCAAGAGTTTGTAAGCCGAACTAGTAGAGTATCCATGGATGTTGTCCAACTTCGATCCAGTCCCATTTGTCTTCGATCCCTTGTCTACATTGGGCTGAGGAAATATCACCAAGCAAGTCTGATTCTAGTTTCTCCTCCCATTCTCTGAGATTACGCCTCCATTTTAAATCCCACTTCCAATGGCCATCAGACCATGTGCCCATTTATAAGTTCTAAGTCACCAATCTTTGTTATTCCTTTTTTTATTTTTTAATTTGAATATGCTTTCATGATTCCTTGTTAGGATTTTATTATATATAAGTTGTATGCATTATCATTTATATAAAATCTTAACCATTCATTTTTTCTTTTTCAATTATTTATTTACTTTTTGTTATATTTATTAAAGATAATTATTTTTTTATTTAAAAAGTTATAATAAATCTCAACCATTAAAAGTGGAGAGATAAATAATTAAAATTGTGTAAATGTAATATATCATATTTATATATAAATAATTTCTAATTTATATTAATTTTTTATCTTGAATTACATAATAAAATATAAATTATTTTTCATCCCTTAACCCCTTTCATCTGCATATTATATGAGTTAAGCTCAGAATATATTACTTTCAAAAAAAGAAGATTACTATTGAACTACTTAAATAGTTGGTTATATTAATAATTAGGGAGTTTTTATAATTTATTTTAATTGTAAATCTCATAATTAAAACTTGAGTGGGTTGCCATGGGCTCCACTTGTTTTCGTTAGTTGTTGACGTTGAAATTTACTTCACTACGATAAGTCTCGGGGATTCCATTATAGATTGGAATAAAGCGTTACTTCAAAAAATAAAACATCATAGAGGAAATAAAAGCATCTATGCTATAAAAGTATTGCTGCATGATTGAGCTGAAGTAATAATATTTGTTTGTTATCAAGTCCATAAAGGTTAAAATATAAATATTTAATAATAAATGACACATTAAAATCTTGAAATAATTTTAAAAAGTGTATAATCAGCCGACATCAATAATTCTTTCAAAAGCATTATTTTACTGAATTGATTTATAAGGAGAGGCTGGAGAAACGCTTTAACTGCCTTTTGGGTGATAAGAAATTTGAAGCACTGATGAGCATTCTTTAAGTGATCTTAACCTTTGTTGTTCTCTGTTAAACATTTGATCTTTGAGAGATCACTGATCTCTCACTGTTTTTTTGTTTTTTCAAATCAGCCAAAAAAGAGTTACATTATTTTGAGTGCAGAAAGGTACTCTGAGGTTGTATTTGGTTTGATTATTAGAATCAACTAAATATTATAATTATTAGTCAATATATAATAAAAAGTTAATACAATGTAAAATAAATTTATAAATTAATATTTTTAAATATCTTAATTAATTATTTTAAAAAATTATAAATTAATAAAGTTAACTAAACCAAACACACACTTTTTTATTTTTTATTTTTGCCAACAACACACTTCAATTTAGTACATCCATAAAAACAGTTTATTATTTTAATATGAATGATCATTGTTTAATTAATAAACTCGCACATAATACGATAAGGTCAGGGGATCATTTCTTTTCTTACAATCAAGGCAAACCATAGAAGTGCAAAAATGAGTATAATTTATATCTTATGTCTCCTTCAGATTAACTATTCAAAAGTAATTAATAATTGATAATCATTTGATTGTATTATTATTATTATACAACTAAAATACTTACCCAACAAATTAAATTGTGCTTGAAATTGCTGTAAAGTGTTGTAATTATGGTTTTTGTATTATAAACAAATTATATAATTATTTGATAATTACTTTAAAAATAATCTTATATATTAATATAATCACTAAATTATATAAAATATCAATTAAAATTAATTTAATCATAATAAATTAATACTTTCATAAAGTGCTGTCTAGAAACATACTGGAGAAAATCTACCCCAAACGTATCCTAAGGTACTTACATGTATCAGGCATTGGCATAAGGTATACTTATACTTTTTTCTCAATCTATATTTCTTTGATCTAAATCCCAAATGATAACCTATATTTAAAAGGTTAAACTCCTAATTTGTATCTTGCACATTATTTTTTTTGCAGTTAACACCATTTATAATTTTCACTTTTAATTAACATTTTCTATAATTTTAAACCCCTAAAAAGTTTTAGGACTATGATTCATGCACCCGTCGGTTCAACGCCCGGTGAGTGCACACTGCATAAACCAAAAAATTTTAAAAGTAAAATTACAAATTTACCCTCTCATTAAACCATTTCCCAAATGACAGAAATAACAAATCTGAGCAAAACTCAATCAAGCATTCAAGCACCAAATCCATCCTTACCCTAATCATTTGCAAGACAATTGGTAGCCGTACCAAGTCCCACCTTCTTCTTTTTCTTTCTTTTTTTTTTTTTTTTCTCGCGGGTTCTCCAGTAGAACCCAGATAGAGAACCTAGATTGGGTTCTCCAAATGGAGAGAAAAAAAAAAAAAGAGGACGAAGGAAAAAGGAAGAAGATAATGAATTTGTTAGAAGAGGAAGATGGAGAGACAAGAAGAAAGAAGGATATTGTGAGGAAGATGATTTTTAAGATTAAATTTGTAATTTTATTCTTATAATTATTTGGTTTTGTAGAGTGTGCACCCCCGGGTGTTGAACTGGAGGGTGCACTAAGCATTTTCCAAAGTTTTAAATTACCAACAAAATAAGAGTACAAATAAGAAGCTTGATTATTAATTTTTGGGTTTTTTTACAAGTTTTAAATTATAAAAAGTCTTGAT